TAAGGGAAATAGTTTTTCACATGGAATAGAAAGTAAAATGCAATACTAAGTACTATCAGGAAAAAAAATCTTATACTAACAAGCAACCAATCTGATGTGCAGAATTTTTGGAAAAGAAAATGGGAGAAAAGCAAGAGAATTCCCAATGCCACCACAATGAGAGAACACTTTTCGTGGGTGGGTGGGTGTGGGATTGTGAGTGGGTGGGTGTGGGTATGTGAGAGAGGGGGAGGGAGGGAGGGAGAGGGAGAAGACAGTTTTAGGCATTTTCCTCCTTGAATACTCTTTATACTTAGGGTTTTAAATAATAAATTGAGTTCAACTCCAGGTAACTTTATAGATATGTCAATGGAGTTTCCTGGCAACAGTGCAGGAATGATTTGCCAAGGCTCTCTTATGAGATGCTTTTTAAACTTTCCTCTTAAGTACAAAGCTCTGAGATTTCCTAATAGTCTCCTTTCCAATTCCACCTGCTCAGCTTTCAGTAATAGGGGTGTGTGTGAGTGTGTTTATACCCGTGTTTCCCCAAAAATAAGACTGGCTCTTATTTTCTTTTGGGCCCCAAAATAAGCACTAGGGCTTATTTTCAGGAGGTGTCTTATTTTTTTCCTATGTATGGGAGGCCCACTACTTCTGCTTGTTCACAGCAGGGGAGAAGGCTGTGCGGCGCACCAATACCACCACCATGAGGTGGAGCTGCCCCACACGCCCCACACTGGCTTCTCTCAGGGCCCCCGCAGCCAGGCCATCTATGCCTCAACTCGCAGAAGCGACACCAACACACTGCTTGGCCTCCTGCTCTGTTGCAGCCATGAGTAAGAAAAAGAAATGGGCCAGCGGCCACATGGGCTCTTGCTGCATATAGCTGCTGGTGCTGCCACCGCGAGGCAGGTGTCAGGGCATGGATGGCCTGGCTGCGGGGGCCCTGATGTAAGCTGGTGAGGGGCGCGTGGGACAGTTCCATCACTCCCCCGCCTCGCCTCATGGCCACGGCACCGCGAGCAACCAGACTGAATGGGCAGGCGGCCAGCTCTTAAGAAGGGCTTATTTTGGGAACAGGCATTATATTAGATGCATGCATAAAAACATGCTAGGGCTTATTTTCAGGATAGGTCTTATTTTGGGGGATAGGGATAGGGATAGGGATAGGGATAGATGCAGATGCAGATGCAGATGCAGATGTAGATGTAGATACTGGTTAGAGTTTTTATAGGAATTAATGAATCAAGCTATTCTGTTCTGTTGATGACCTCTAGGAGATATTTCTTCAAGAATTAACCCACAGATTGCTAGTACAGATAGACCTTGTTTAGCAACTGCCTTGTTTAGGGACTGTTTGCACAGATAAAATGGTGATAAAAAATAATTTTGCAATCAATTCTTGCATTTACAACCTTTGCAGTTCTGTAAAATAAAGGAAATCTGAATAAAATAATGAGCATAATCACAAATTCGCTTAGCAACCGCTTTGTTTAATGACCAAGATGATGGTCTCAATTGTGCTCACCATGCAAGGACTACCTGAATTGCAATTTAAAGTGGATAAATGTCTATTTATTTATTCATTTATTTGTATTCCGCCTTTAATATTTTTACAAATAACTGAAGGCGGCAAACATACCCCATTTTCCTCCTCCTATTTTGCATGAAGCATAAAATTCTGTTGAGCTGTATCTGAGTGAATTAACAAAATGACCACTTTTTTCAGTATAGTAGCCTTGAAAATGTGCCCACACAAAAATGAATTTGTCTATTTAAGAATGGATAGAATTGCAGCAAAGCACAATGTATTTTTAAATTAATCGTATGCCTGGTTTACTTAGAAGCTATTAGCTATCTTCACTGGGAAGAGAGACACAAAGAAGCACTTCAACATCTGGCATGACTAGGCAGAATCAATGAAAGAGAATGAGAAATTAGATGGCCAGATTTGATTCTATAACCCTTATCAAAGACTGTTTCTTCCTTGCATATAATTCTATGTAATCCATGGCACACAACCAACCCTTAAATACCAGCCTACCATACAGATTACTTTACAGATTACTAGTGTTACATGTTTATATAAATCATACTTGAACTTCAGAATCCCAGTGAATGCTTGGCAGGTAGGCTGCCTCAGTATATGTAGGCTGTATTCCTGTTTTTCATTTCATTCAGTACACAACCTAATCTCCACTACATTATTAAGTAAACAAGAGTAAATAACAAGTTGCTGCTAACAACAAACTAAATATAACATATCTATAATCCAACTCACAGCTCAACAGCCATCACATAAACTAGGGCTGAGAAAGTATTATACATTTCTCAAAACAAATGTCAAACTTATAAGCATTTTTTAGAATAAAAAAATAATCAAATTCCTAGATGCCAATATCTAGCTTGGAGGAGTGTGGTGTGTAGGAAAGCTAAAGAAAAGAGTGCACACAGATTATAATTTTTACTATATAACCTTTTTGGATGCAAATTTGAATCTTTTCTCCCATTTGGGGATGTTTAGAGATTTTCATGCAAATTTCATAGGATTTCACTCAGAAGCCAAAGGAATAGCCAGTACCTGACATTCTAATTGATGGTATCTGATTTTTCTATAAAAAGTCCACAGCTATATGCTTCAAACCAAAATTACAAGTAATAAAATATTAATGGAAATGTTTTTGTTTAGATAACCTGATGAGAGTAAGCTACCAAGGATATTTCTAGATGTTGCCCTATGTTTCCAAATATTTACATACTACTGTGTAGGAAAATGCTACCTCATCTGCTGTCATCTACTAATATGACAGCAAACAAATGACATAGGTGAGAATATGACCTTGAGATTTCTAATACAGTCCTAAACTTTTCTCTACATGAGGTTACAATGGGAATTATGCTGGTCACATTGTACCAAGGACCCCCTCTGCTGGTTACAATATACAGTCACTCTAATCAAAGCCCTTTAATGATTCCATAAATTATGACTAAGGAGAAAGAAAGGTAGCACAGATAGGAAAGAGAAGGCTAAATGAATTCCCAGTTTAAGTTCTGGGCCAAATACCTTTCATAACACTCTTATGAATATATTACACATATTAACAGACAGAGATGTTTATATGTTTTTCAGTAAAGTACATTGCCATTTTTAACACAACCAAGCATTATCGTTGAGGCATAAAACACACGTTCCAAATTAAAACCCAAGAATCATAAACAAGTAAATATATTATAAATATTTCTGCTACTGCATTTTGATGATTTCACTCCATTTTCCTCTGTTTGTCTCTAACTGCAAATGTTGCATTGCTCTAAAGCAAACCTAAAAAACTATCCGCGCTGTCATAAAATTAAAAAACACAAAGTTATTGAAAAGAGCAGACTAATACAATCTGGAAATGATACTCTTTAGACTTGTACATTTTTGAGCTAGATGTTTTGCTAATTTTAAACCCCTGTAATATGATACACTCCAGACAATGTTCTTTTTCAAAGAAAAAAAGAGGCAGCCAAAAAGAACATGAGCACTCACTTCTGCTTTTGATTAACTATCTTAATGATTTAGTAAAATGACAGAGAGCATAATACAACATTAAGACTTATCTGAACCAGGTGTTTAAAGATTCTTTTCATGCTATACAGCACTGGGATATTATTTATTTATTTTGACCAATGCGCTAGGATTTAGTGTTTTTAACCACAAATCAAACCATGGAAAAGCTAAAATGTTCTTTAATAGAGGACACTCTCACATACACAATCACACCACATGTAGCTAAGGTGCTTTTCACTACTCTATTGTTTGCTTACTTGTTTACTTGAGTCTCTTGTTCAAAACACTGACTGAGCAAGCAATAAAAAAAATCGAAAATACAAACAAAACATGGAGCCTGTATCAAATCTACTGCAAAGTACTTGATCAAACAATTGTATGGTTTTGCAGAAAGCACATGTATACCTGATTTAAATGCAGAACCATCAGATGTAGCCAGACAGCATTAAAGGAAAATAGCCATACTTTTAGTCTATTACATGAAACCTGATACATGTGCCTGGATTTTTCTGATATTCAGGCACTTATTCAGGTGACAAAAAGCACCAAAGTTGCGCCCAGGACAGTTACAGTACACTGCAACATTAGTTTGCAAAATAAAGTGGACTCTAAACTTCACTTTGATAGGAGCAATTGCATCAATGTGTTTGCTATAAAGGTTAATATAGTCCATGTCATCACCCCCACTAACACACTGTTGGCCTTTAAAATTGTATAATCTCAAAGGCATCTCTAGTTAGAAAACCAGGCTATGTATTTCAATGGATGTTATGTCCACGCTTTGAACGACAGAGCAATGTCTGGTTGCTGGAAGGGAAGAGACAAATAATGCCAATGTACAAATGATCCAGTTCTCCTTATTTCAAGGAACTACCTCTGATTTCTATAAATGGGCTCAGTTGACATCTGGAGAGAAAGGCTCAAAATAAAATTTCATGATCAAACAGTTCTGGAGAAGTCATAAACACTCCTCCAGTGAATTTTTGGATCTCAGAAAGAGAGGAGGAGGCAAGAACATAAAAAACTCCCTAGAGGCTAAGAGAAGGCTACATACAGCTTGAGATAAAGAAAGCAAAAGCAAAAGCAGCACTACAGATCACCGTCAAGCTTTGAAAATTTAGGTGTATCACAAAATAGTCTTCCCCAAGCTGGTACCCTCCCAGGGTGTTAGAACTACAACTCCCACGACTCTTAGGTTTTGTAGTTAATGGCTGAGAATGATGTGAGTTCATGTCTTTTGTTTTTTTTATTTTTAAGAGGTTGAAACCCCTTTGCTCCAGAAGCAGCCTACAAAGCAAAATAGTTGTCCCCAAATTTCCCCAGAGCACCATCACCTTAGAGAAGGCTGGCATACATAAAAGGTCCACTCAAGAAGTGCCCTGCTTAGATGCTTCAATAATGCCACCAACTCTCCCCCTGCAGCTTAGTCCAGCAGCCCCTCCCGGGCCGGTCCTTTTTCAGCCCTTACCACTCTGCCTGAGAACCTCTCGATGGCCCTCTTGACTTTGCCATAGGTACCCTTGCCCAGCGTTTCTTGCAACTCGTAGCGATGTTTCAGGTTGTGCTTGTGATGGTGCCTCTTGACCCCTTGCTGCTGCTGCTGCTGCTTCAGCTCCTGTTGGGGAGCGCTGACAGGGCTGACGGCCTTGGGGGCCGAAGCAACCGAGTCCCCTGAAGAAGAAGCCTCCGCTGCGGACTCCTCCATAGCCGCTCCCGCCGCTTCACCGACAGCCCGCGCAGCCTCCCGGCAGCATTGCTGGGGAGCTTCTGTGCTGCTGCTGCCATCCAGCTCACTCCTCTCCATCTCCCGCTCCGGCGGGCGGGCGCCTAGAAGGCACTTGGAGCGGCGCGGGAGGAGCCTCGGGGTCCCTCCCTTCAGGCGTGTTCCGCAAGGGCTGCCCTCATATTTTCGGGGCGGGAGGGGAGAGAGAGGCCGAGAAACCGGAGGCCACAGCGCCCTCCTCTCACTCCCCGCTGGGGTACCTAAAAAGCAATTACTAAGACGGGGATTTGGCGACGGTGAAAGCGGCCGGGCTGGACGGGATCCCTGGCTGCACCCGGTCCTTTGGCGGAAGGCGCTTTTCAATTGGGGAGGGGAAAGGGGAGGGAAGCCGTATCCCCCTCCTCCGCCTTTCTTTCTTTCTTTCTTTCTTTCTTTCTTTCTTTCTTTCTTTCTTTCTGTCTTTCTTTCTTTTTCTTTCTTTCTTTCTTTCTTTCTTTCTTGCTTGCTTGCTTGCTTGCTTGCTTGCTTGCTTTCTCTCTCTCTCTCTTCCTTCCTTCCTTTTTCTTTCTTTCTCCTTTTCGTTCTTTCTCTCTTCTCTTTTTTCTCTCTCCTTCCTTCCTTCTTTTCCTTTCTCTCTCTCTCTCCTTCCTTCCTTTCTCTCTTTCTTTTTCTTTTATTTTCTTTCTTTCTCCTTCCTTCCTTTCTTTGTCTCCCTCTCTCTTATTTCTCTCTCCTTCCTTTCTTTTCTCTTTCTTTCTCTTTCTTTCTCTTATTTTCTTTCTTTCTCCTTCCTTCTTTTCTTTGTCTCTCTCTCTCTTCTTTCTCTCTCCTTTCTTCCTTTCTTCTCTCTCTCTCTCTCTCTCTCTCTCTCTCTCTCTCTCTCTCTCTTTCTTTTCTTTTCTTTATTTCTTTCCTCCGGCCCGCAGCCGCCTTAAAAAGGGATGCGGGACAAAGCCTAAACGCGCCCGGGCTGCGGTCCCGCAAAAACCCAATTTCCCCGGCGCTCGTTCTTAGAGGCAATGCGGCGGCGGGGGCAGAGGGGCAGGGGCGGCGATGTCAGACTCCCGAGGCGACATAGAGCAGCGCAGAGCCGCCTCTCCCCGTTCGTGCTGTCAGCGAGGCGGCGGCTCATTTGGCCCTGAGAGGCGCTTGGGAGAGCTCGCCACGCCTCGGAGACTCCCAGCCAGCGACTCGGGGGCGGGGGAGCCGGTGGGGCCGTCCGGCGCGGTGCTTGGCCTGGGAACGAGCCGGGCGTGGCGCGGAGAGAAATCGCTCTAGAAAACTAACGGGCCGGGTGGGAACCGGGGACCTCCCCTTCCGAGCCTGACCTCCGATCTGGGCGGGCTCTTTAGGGCAATCCCCGAAGAAGGCGGGGAGGGGAGACAAATCGGGAATGGAGGTTCCAGCCGGCCTTTGTGCCAAAGGATGTTGCATTATTCCGGCTGAATACACGGATAATTTAGGGGAAGAGACCGACCACTCTTCAACAATTTGTTGCTGCCTGCAGGCAGGGGGTACCTAAGAAAGCCTCTCAGCCCTGTAGAAGTAGAATGGTTATGGAGGAAACAGATGGAAGCAGTCATTTGGTGACAGATTGATGACAGATTTTGGAAGACTCCGGGTACAAAAAAGTATGTCCCACACCACATGTGTGCAGAGAAGCCCAGAAAAGGGGAGTCTCCTTCCTATTTCTTTTTTTAAAAAGAAGGAAGACTACATCTGTATTTATAACTCAGATCCATGGACTCAGAGAGCGTCCAAAATGGTTGGATTCATTCATTTCATACTTCATTAAGTACAGGCACATATGATTTTTAATAACAGATTACCAGGTAAAGTAATCTGGGGTAATCTGTTATTTAAAATCATATAACATGAAGAGCATCCACTTTTATTTGTAGGAGCCTACAATTGTTGCCTAGTGTAAAATAGTATTACAGTAATGTATGGGTCAGTCCATTAATAGACTCATAATGTTGCCTCAAGCTCTCCATGCAAGAAAACAAGATCACCTCCATCTTTGTGCCACAAAAAGGATCATTTTGCTCCGCTCCAATATTGCCCAGATCCCCTGCTGCCAGGATCATCTCTTGTACTCAGGAGACAAGTGCACACATTTGCAGAATGGCATTTAATAATGTTCTTTCTTGAATGTGTGACATACTGGGTTCCTCTTCCATAAATAAGAATTGAAATTATTGTTATTTATGGAAAACAAAAGGGGTCTCCAGAAAGGACTCAAAAGCTGGTATTCTCTGTATGAATTCGATCCAGTGGAACAACTAATCCCAGATGTGACAATGCCCCCTTTTGGTTTAATTTAATTTTTTATTATGTTTTATATTAAATACATTGCACACTGCTTTTAGAGTTCATTGAGATTGAAAATGTGTATGTTTGGTAAATAAATAAATGGAATCTAAGAAAAGTTCTCAACTATTTTAATTATGGGACCTGTAATGCTTCCACAGGTGTTCTTATCATACTAAATGGGTGGATTTTCATTTAGGATAGGTAGCCCACAAATCCCTAACTGGACAATCAAGGATGCTGTTAAAGAGGCCCCTTGCTTTATCCTTCAGAAACAGGTCAATGTGGGAAGAAGAAGCCCTCCCTCCCTTCCTGGCTTCCCAAGTTTTGGAAGTCCTTAAGAGATGCACAGATTTGCCCCCAAAACTCCCCAATTTGTTTTTGTTTAAATTAGCTTTGCATAGGGAAAATAAGTTAACTGGTAGGCAAAAAAATCACTTGCTGAGAAGTCAAAATATGACTTTCCAACCTTATCATTGTCACTTTCTATTTCTTGATGCAACCATTTATTACACTCTTCAAATAGGAATGCTGTGGGGTGAACTCTTGTTTCCTCCCTCATCCTATAGTGCTTAATCATCAGTACTTTCTCTCAATATCCACCCACTCTATCTTCCTGGTCCTAGTAAACCACTTGAAGGATTTTGTGAATTCAAACCTAACAGTCATTTTCTATCAAATATGTTTAGAGAGAGACTTGTTTAGATTTCCTAAATTAGATTAGGTACTCCCTTCTCTTTGCTATCTGTTTTCATTTCATGATAGGTTATAGGGAGTCTGAATAAGAAACAATCTAGCAGATCATTAAGCTTTAAAATATTAGCTAGATAGATCAGCAGACTGTAAGGTTTAGAACATTATTTTTTTACTACTGATTTTCTTTAGTCATATATTTTTCTCACCTACACATCATTAACTATGAGTTAGAACTACCAGGCTTTCACTCTTACCAATATACACTCTAAATCTTCAGGAAATATACATTTTCTTCAGCACTCTTTTTGCACTCTATATATCACTCTCTTTTCCTGCTTTAACCACCTTCCCAGATGAACAAATGGGCCTCATGTTCTAAAGAAACACTATCTGTAATATGCAGTTCAGTATTTTAATTACTTTAGTTTGAGCAAAGTTGATTTTCTTTAGCAAGCATATTCGATCTTCCATGACATAAGCTATGTTTAAGCCAGTTCCTATATATGAAGAGAAATTATGTGGGAGAGCTTCATATGAGTTTAATCCAGGGGTGGGTTCTACTTACCTTTACTACTGGTTCGCAACGGGGCTGCACGTGCTCTTCTGCGCATTCGCAGAAGCGTTCTGATGACGTCAAGCTCAGTGGGCAGAGCCTCCCGCTGGTTTTATTACCGGTTCTATAGAACCGATGTGAACCGGGGGCAACCCACCACTGGTTTAATCTCAAGATAGGAAGTTACATGAAATGGGTTTCTAAAACAGAGCTCTGTGTGGCTACATGAATTCTCAAAGAGATGCTACAAGGAATAGCTACCAAGATATTGCATTGCTACAGAAACCAGAGCCATTTTGCTGATAAAAAGGAAAAGCCAAGAAACTGCCCTCTTGTGCTTTTTCAAAAGTATAACCTTCAAGCCCTACAAAATTTATCCACATCTTTATGTGTGAAGGTTTTTTTACTAAAAAAAAAAACCAGGCACAAATCTGTGTGAATGGAAATCTGTTTCACAAACTGGGTGAGATTTAAATTGATCTGCATATCTCTAGCCACAGCAGAAGATTTTAACCAAAGGATTAAAAAAAAAATTAGATTTTTTTTAACCATGTTAGATATTTCAGAAAGCTAGAGAATTTATCCCATAGGACATCACAATGAAAATAGCAATAATACTGATTATCAATAAGATTATATGTGCCTGGTAATGTCAGCTTTCAAGTGGATGAGTCATCGAGTAGAGCATCTAATAATAGCCTTATTTCATGGTACAGCTATAGGTCAGGAAAAGTCTTCTTTCTGTAAGTCAAATGCCTTCACCGATTTCCAGAAGCAGCTGCATGCAGTTGTAAGTAGACTGTCCGTAAAATATGATAACAGCAATGGAAATATTCTATGACGGATGATTCATACAAATAGATATAGAGGAATGATGGAAATGGGTAGAGAATTTGCAAGCATTTTTTTGGGAAAGAGGCTGAAAATAGTTACATGATAGATTACATTTTAGGGATTTTATTTTTGTGCAAGGCTGAAATGTAAACCTTTTTTCATATTTTACATGCTGTTTATGTGACAAAGCTATTCTTTTAACTAACTAAACTACTTCAGTTTATTCACTGGAGATTATGCTGAGCCCAAAGAAAAACAAAACAGAGCTAAAAGGTTCAGGTTTGAACTATTTCTTATTCTGGTAAATTCAAATAATTGTTGTTTAAAAACTTTAATACATTAAAGAGTAGTAGAGCATCAGAAGGTGGATCCTGCCCTGTAAATAGTTTTGTCACCTTCCCCTGGCTAGCTTTTACTTTGGATGTTGAGATATGAGGGGGAAGGGATGGGGGAGGGAAGGGGGAAGAAAGGGCGAGGAGGAGGAGGAGAAGAGAGAAACAACCACCACCTACTATTCAGGATCCAAGAGCAGGATAACCAACTTACATCCTGTATCATGGCTATGGTATGAGGAAAGCTACTTTTTGAATCAGGAAGTTGGTATGAATTCCCCTACATCAGGGATGTCAAACTCAAGGCCCGTGGGCTGAATCCAGCCCATGGGCTGCTTAGATCTGGCCCATGGGGCCGCCCTGGAAACAGCAAAGGACTGGCCCACAGTGCCTATGCCAGCGAAAATGGAGTTTGGGAGGGCCACATGTAGAGGGTTGCAGGAGACCGTCCCAGCCGAAAACGGAGCTTGTGAGCCCGTTTTCGCTGGCAGAGCACTCGGCCCACCACAGGCGCCCCTGACACAAGTGATGTCAAACTGGCCATGACTACCCTGGCCACACCCACCCCAGGCCTCCCGAGGTCAAACACTACCCTGATGCGATCCTCAATGAAATCGAGTTTGATACCCCTGTCCTACATGGCTTGTAAAGTGGCATGTTGCATTCTATCCAAATAGCAATACCAAACATGAATGTTTTGTGTTTATACTTCACTGAGAATACCTAAAACAAACTCCCAACAGGCTATTCATACATTTTTCATATGTAACACCTGGCCTTCTCATTTCATTGTGGTTTCCAGATGTATTGACTACTCCATTATTCCACAGACTATTTGAAGATGATAAAAGTTGTAGCACAATACATTTCTAAAACACCTAATTTGAGAAGCTTTTTGAATTCCAGTTGCATTAGTACAAAAACAACAATTCAGATTGTTATGGTATGTCATCTTAGCCTGAAATATACAAATTATGTAGCAAATATTTATTGCTCTGCTATTATACAGAAAACAAGTAAGGAAAAGTCAGACTTTGTAGAATTTCATATTTTTTTTTACAAACACTAGCTCCACCAGGTGGTTAACATTATTATTTTATGC